TTATGCATGTATTGTCCCCATTAAATTTTAAAGGTCTTTGAGAATACTGGGGACAATTAAAGCATCTTCACAATTCACCAGTCCATAATCTAGTATGGACTGAACAGACAGGAAACTGATGAAAACAAGTCTGTCAAAAATTCCTGCTAAAATGTTTAGAAAATAATGATGGCAATTTATATACAAATATGCTTGATACAACTGATGTATATGGATTGTTGTAAGAGTTGTAAGCACCCCCAATAAAATGATCTTTTAATAAATTTTAATTCTAGCCTACACTGAAATTCTAAAGTCTAAATTCCTTGCTGAAATATACATATTTAGCCATTCAAGCAATATCTTCAACCTACAATTGCTTTCCCCTAATACTTGCTCTAGAGATCTTTTATCACTCTTCCCCCACTTCCCCAAAAAAACAAAACCCCAAACTCACTGCCACCAAGTCAATTCTGACTCATAGAGACACTACAGAACAGAGTGTAACTGCCAGTGGGTTTCTGCAACTGTTACGCTATACAGAATGTGAATAGCTCGTCTTTCCCCTGTGGAACCACTGGTGGTTTCAAACTGCTAGCCTCATGGTTAGCAGGCCAACACATAACCACTACATCACCAGATCTCCAGCTCTCACCTCCAAGCAAAGGCAAGATTTCACTTTTAGTCTAAATTTGCTTCTCTGCTACTGCTGTTAGGTGCCATCAAGTTGCTTCCATCTCATAGCCACCATACATGCAACAGAGAGAAAAACTGCCTGATCCTGCATCCTTGCTAATCTTATGTGTGAGTCCATTGTTACAACCACTATGTCAATCTATCTTGTTGAAGAGCTGTTTTCTTTTTTGCTGCTCCTTCACTTTACCAAACATGATGTCCTTTTTCAGAGACTGGTCTCTCCTGACAAAATATCCAAAAAATGGTGAGACGAATGCTTCTAAAAAGCATTCTGACTGTACTTCTTCCAACACAGATTTGTTTGTTACTATTGGCAGAAAATGGTACTTGGAGTATTCTGTCAGCCCCATAATTCAAATGCATTGATTCTTCTTTGGTCTTCCTTATTTAATGCCTAACTTTCACATGGATAGGAAGCAATTACAAATACCATGGCTTGGGTCAGGTGCACCTTAGTCCTCAGAGTAATTTCCTTGAATTTTCAACACTTTAAAGAGGACTTGTGCAACAGATTTACCAAGGACAAGGCGTCCTTTAGTTTCCTGACTACTGCTTCCACGAGCATTGATGCGGCTACAAGCAGGACAAAATCCTTGACAACTTCAGCCTTTTCTCCTTTAATCATGATGTTGCATATTGATCCAGATGTGAGGATTTTGGTTTACTTTTGACATTGAGTTGGAGGCTACAATCTTTGACCTTCATCAGCAAGCGCTTTAAGTCTTCCTCGCGTTCAGAAAGCAAGGTCGTGTCATATGCATTTCACAGGTCTTCAACATATCGCTTCTCTGCTAGAGTTTCTTATTTCAGTTAAAGGTAGAACCACACAGTAACTAGTTTTGAGAAATTGGACTTTTGTCCTTGACTTTTTCTCTTACCCTCGAACCTCCAGATTTTCTCTCAACAAACGTTGTCTCCTCTTCTAAATATAGTTCAAGTCTCCATTTCTTTTGTTGTCCTATTATAGAGCAAATCATCTTTTCACTTGGCTACTACAATAACTAACCTTTGTAAATCAATTACTTTCCTTTGCTTACCCATTCCACTGGATTCAAATAGTAGTACATGTTACTATCCTTCAATTCTTTGCCTTTGAGATAAAGACTAGAATCCATAACTTGGCCTACAGACCTTCTCAGACCTTCTCTTTTTATCACTCTTCCAGTTCTTTTCCCATTATATTCATACAGGCTTTCTGTCAGTCCTCTTGACAAGCCAAACTTTTGTTTGTAGGCTTTTATCCTTAACTGTTAAACACTTGTATCTGCTTTGCCTGCTAACTCCCAGTTTCTTGTTTACAAGTGAGAAATTCCACTAAACCCTTCATAACTAAAAACTAAAGAGTTTTTGAAAAAGATATCTGAACTAATCTAAAAATGATTGAACAACTATATTTGAGAAGGGTAGGCTTGCAGCTCAGAAGATAGCTCAGGGATTACTTCAACCAGATTGCTCAAATGCTACCATAATTCCCCTTGTACATCTTGTTATTGTTTGTTCTATCATTTTCATGTTTTCTTATTATAGACTAATTATTCCATGTGGTGGAAAACAAAGTATTTCCTTTCGTTTTTTTATCCTGTAGCTTTTCCTATCTAGAGAAAGACTGGCTCTTCTTCTGTTCCAGTGTAAAAAAACAAACAAACAAACAAACAAACACACTTGAAAAGAATTTTTGACTGTTTTGGTCAGATGAAATGATCAACTATAACCAGGTCAGATCCTTAAAAGAAGTGAACATTTCCTCAGATGCTGTGCTATTGGAATTGGGGGAGAGAATAATTCCTAGAAAAGGTATGTAAGTATATCCCCTGAATTGTGGTGGACAGGCAAATTCCAAACAAGTTGTACAATGTGAGTTGTTAAGAGTAGGGAGGGCTGGATGTCCAGATGAGAGAACTAAAACTTTTACTTCAATTTTTTTACTGAGAAAATTAGTATAATCAGAAGATAGTGAATGATTGGTAGTTGTAGATTTAAAACATCATGTTGAGTTTGAGAGGTCTCTAGTGGCAAATTTAGACTAAAAAATATTGAGTTTTACTTCCAACACATAGAGTTCAAAGTCTGCAAATTAGTTAAATGCAACACAAACCAAGAAACACAGGGTTCTATGGCTCTAAGGTCCATAGAGATGATGATTTGGCAATTACTGGCACATCGATGCAAAATGGAGCCAATTAGCAGAGAAAATTACCATAAATACAAAAAATGAAATATTATCCTAAATAATCGGTTTAGGATACAACAGTTTTCTACTAAGTATCAATATTAACGAAGCATACAAGAGTCACAGGAAGGAATATAGATTGAAAGGGACCCAGAGAAAGATAAAGAAATAATAGGAATTCACAGTGCAGTGCAAGAAAGGTTCAACAACATAGTTGAGCTAAAAGGGAAGTCAAGTATGATAGTCCTAAGAAAAAGTTACAGGATTCAGTGAACAGAGGTCTACAAAAAACTTGACATTCCGTTTCATTAGAGTAATAGTGATGGAAACTAGAATGCTGATACAGGCAAGGCAGAAGGAAACAGAAAAAGAGAGAACAAGATGATATAACAGTTCAAAACGTTTGGAAGTAAAGACGAAAGATGCATATAAGTCAGCAAGAGGACAGGTAAGTGAGGTTAAAAAAAATTACTTTTTGTTTGCTATTATTGTTCTATAAAATCAGGCTAAAAAGAAATGGGAAGAATTAGTAGAAAGGAAGAGTTTGAAGAGAGTATATGAAAACATTAAGTCCTTGAGAGGGAAGTTGGAGAAATAATCTATAAGCTAGGTAGAGAACTTGTATTTAAAGGGAAAAAGGTCAATTTTTTAGCTTATCATAATAGAATGGAAAAGAGCAGGGATAAATAAGATTCATGACATTGAAGTAATTTTTATCAGCTGGTTTCTCTCTTTAGTAAAAAGTAGAAAAACAAGACCATCTGCTCATGAGGATATGTGAAGCAAATCTTAAGACTTGAAGGTACGTGATCTGAAATAAATATGATCTGGCAAAAATAGCACTGTTCTAGAATATCATTTTTCCAAATATAGAGTATACATACATCAGAAGAAAGTTAAAGAAACTAAAAGATATTGTGTATGTAAAGCACTATTATATAATAATAGTAAGGGAGGGTATATTGTGCTACTTCTCTGTATTACACTTAATACCCAGAATATCACTAACTCCAGTGAACAGTGGAGTTCTGACAATAATTAGCCACGTTGTCTCATATTTTGCCAAATGATGCAACAAAAGGGGAAAGGGAAAACTAAATGATCATCAATAAATAAATGCTTGAATAGATGTATTTCCATTTTCCATATAGCACTAGAAAACTTTTATTAGTTTCTAACTTTCGAACTTCAGCCTATTAAGTTTCTTTTTTACCAATTATATTACAAAACCAAGCTCACTGCCAGAGTCAATTCTGGCTCATAGCAACCCTATAGGATGGGGTAGAACTGTCCTTTGTGGATTGCCAACACTGTAACCCTCTGTTGAAGCAGAAAGCCTTGTGCAATAGACAGATATCAAAAACCCTCTAGCGAAAGTATGCATCTATGGAAGTGCTTCCTTATAATTAACAGGGCTTGTTTTTATATCCATCTCTCCATCTATCCATCATTATTTATTGAGTGCCTACCATGTATAAGCCATTATGCTAAGAGTAAGATATACATTATGCACAAAAAATCATAACCTAATATGTGAATTATAACATTGCTACCAAATGGTCATCCTATCTATACTTGAAGTAAAAAAAAAAGTTAGATTTAAACGTATTTCATCCATTTTTTGGGGGGGCGGGGGTGGTATTTCGTCCATTTAGGGGGCTCTCATTATCACATCTTTCTCACATGATATTAAAAGGAAGTGAGATAGTTAAGGTTTATTGTGCCAACCTGGCTGCTAAATGCATGTGGCATTAACTGGAGGGTTGAGAGCCTTACTGAGTCCAACCTTTCTAGTTCTCTTGTTTCCTGATGGTTAGACCAGGGTGCAGCTGCCTTAGCCAGTTCCCTGCTTCAGGTGACAAGATTCACTTCCTGCATGATACCCCTGAGGAGAAGCAGCATGGACCTACCCTGATGCAGCCCTCGGTGCTGGAGCAGCTGCATGGAAGCTCCTGCCAGCACTGAGATGCTTACACGCTCCCTGATTTGGCTTTCCTCGTGCAGCCAGTGTCAATGCGTGTGTTTTGTGAGATTGAGGAGGACTTTGTAGATCTATGGGCTAATGTTGGACTTATGGGCTTGGACAAATGTATGGGCTAATGTTGGACTTATGGGCTTGGACAGCACTGGGTTGAGATGCTTTCTTAATGTATACTTACCCTGTATATAAAACTCTCTTATACATATGAGTTTCTGTAGATTTGTTTCCCTAATTTACCCAGACTAACACAGGAAGGATAATGTTTTAAAACTCTTCAACTAGTACAACCACTAGTAGTGCCTGGCTGGTGCAAACTGTTAACATGCTTGGCTAACAGAAAGGGTGAAGGTTCAAATTCACCCACAGGTACCTTGGAACAAAGACCTCAATAACTACTACTTAAAAAAACAACCACTGATATATGGAGCACAGTGCTACATGATACAATGCCATGAATTAGAATCAGTAGCCAAGAGAGAACAGTATCATCATCTCTATTGAAGAACAATATATCCCCAGATTATGAACTTCCCACAAAGGAACAATGCTAATTTGCCCCTCAATATCATGCTTGCTCTCAAATGGAAATGGCTGAAATAACTGCTACTCCAACAAAATCAGTCACTTCATTTGCTACATACAGAACAGCTTTTTAATCACTGAAAAGGCTCAAGCCTTCTCATGCACTAAAATAAGGCTAACTTAGAATTGTATGCATGGAAAATCGGTTATTATAGATGCAATTTGCTTGAAATTGAACACTTTATCATTTGTTCTCCTTTTTGACCCATTTTAAATTTATTCTAGTTTTTTTAAATCATTTTATTGGGGGCTTGTACAGCTCTTCTCACAATCCATACATCCATCCATTATGTCAAGCATTATTTGTATATTTATTGTCATCATTTTTCAAAACATTTCAGCTCTTTTTCCCCCTCTCTCCCCCTCCCTCAGGAACCCTTGGTAATTTATAAATCTTAAATTATTTTTTCATGTCTTAAACTGTCTGACGTCTCCCTTCATCTACTTTTCTGTTGTCTGTCCCGCAGGGCGGGGCTTATACATAGATCATTGCGACCAGACCGGTTCTTCCTTTCTCCCCCACCTTCCTCTTCCCTCCTGGTATGGCTACTCTCATGATTGGTGTTCTACTTTTTAATATTTTCTACTTTCTTTCCGATGAGGGTTTTTTCTGTTTTCCTTTGTTATTATTGTTAGATTTTTTACTTTGTTTTTGTATATCTTTCTGTACATGAAATCCAAGGTAGATAATTCTACAAAGACAGTAACTACTTTAAAGGTCTCTTGGGGTGGGGTCAGGGAGATTGGGGGAAAATGGAGAACTAATAACAATAAGTACAAAAAAGAAGAAAATGTTCTAACATTGATTGTGGTAATGATTGTACAACTCTTCTTAATATGATTGAACTACTGAATTGTATGATATGTGAGATATATACCAATAACATTGTTTTTTTTAAAAGGAGTATACGTCTGCCCCAATCACCTGTAAATTCCACTTAAAAGCCTAGATATGTTTGTAAACGCAGTGACTATCTGTAATGGTTATTTGTCATTTTAAACAAAATTGCTCTACTTTATTTCAAAAAATTCTCTAGTCAAAAGTCAGGTGGCTTTTAGCCCCTAATTCCTCAAAACAGGAAGAAACAAAAATAAGTTTATAATAAATTACTATTGTTCATTTGTATCTTTGATTTTTAAAGATGAATGAAAACGCCCTCAGAAAAATAATTCAGGAGATGAGCTGAGGTAGTTTGGTCATCTATTGCATGAAGGAAGATTAAAAATGAGATGACTAGATGACCAATTACTTTTTTCATATTCTCCCGTCCAGTTTTTCGGTCTCTGGGGGCCCTTTATCATTTTAAAAAATACTGGACCTTAATGAACTTATTTTATGTAAGTTATATCTATCAATGTTTGATATATATTGTGTTGTTAGTATAGGCACCCTGAAGACATCGTGATTAAGCAATAGTTGCTAACCAAAAAGTCAGTGGTTTGAACCCACCAGCTGTTTTGTGGGAGAAAAGTGGTACTTGGCTAATATAAAGATTCAGCTTCGAAAACCCTAAGCAGCAGTTTTCCTATGGCCAATAAAGTCACTAACTCAGAAATGACCCAACAGCAATAGGTTTTGGTTTGGTTGCTGATGTTGTTAGTCACCATGGAGCTGAATCTAACTCATAGCCAGCACTCCATGTTTGTCAGAGTAGAGCAGTGCTTCATAGGGTTTCCAAGGTTGTGATTGCCAAGCCTAACATGTGAGGCACCTGTGGGTGGATTTAAACACCAACTTTTCAGCTAGTTATAGAGTATGTAACCATAAGCAACACCTAGTGACCTTCTATTTTCTGTAATAAAGACAGAAAGACTGAGACACTTTTAAATAATGTACTTACTAATAATTTATTTTAAAGCAGCATATAATACATTATTATTAGTATAGGTAATATGATTTAAATTATATTCTCTGTAGAAAATGAGTTAAATAGCTATTATTTTACATATTTGTACAACTCTTTAATGTCTAATTAAATAGGAAGCAGCTGGATTCTCATCTTCTCGCACAAAATCTGTTTTTGTGTGTTTTGGCTCATAACATACAAAGAAAATTAGGCCTCACAGAGATATATATTTAGAAAAGGAATTTGTACATAATCTTTTCTTCTC